TTGATCTCTAAACTAAAGTGTTTCTAGTAGTGTTAATGATACTCTTTAATTTGCATTGTTGCACTGTTATAACATTGTAAAGTGAATCAATGTTTTGTTTTGAGGTGCCTGTTTACCGTTTCATTACACTATTGTAGAAAAAAAAGTACAAATATTTAAATACAGATTGAAAACAATTTTTAAATAAAAAATGTGGCTTTTTAGAAGAAATTGGTAAATATTACTTTAAAAACAACAAGGTTTATGTTTGATGAACTTAAAACTATAGTTTGTAAATTGAAAAAACTGAGTTGGCATCACTTAAGAAGTTCAAGTTGGAAACATGTAAAGTCTAATAGAACAAACAAGAATAAAATGAGTTCAAATACTTAATAAAATTGAGGCAACTATTTGCATCAGCTTTTTGAGTAAAACGGGCACAATATTTTTTACAGAGTACATATTCTGTTATTAAAAGATACATGATGGAGATTACTGAACAACAAAACTGGAAATCTACTGAAATGAATGAACTTCCACTGCTTCATGAGTTCATCATCTATTATCATGTTATTTCAATCTCAAGGTGTCAGGAGAAACATTTACCGTCCGAATAGGGCTTTTGAGTTGATCTGAATCTCACAGTACAAGTGATACATGTATTAGAAGATAACTGAACATAATACTCATAAAACTCACATGAAACTCATAAGAAAACACAATTATATTTATATCATATTTATAAAATGATATACAAGAATAAAACTTCAACATTGTTCTTTGGGGAGGCACTGTGAAAACTTTAGATAATGTTTCTTTGTCATGTTGCTTGTAACGTCTGGTTAGGACAGATTTATCCAGATGATATTTTATTGTTTGATGCATTATTGTGTCACATTTGTTGAGAACACAGCATCAGATCTGAAGATGACCTATTTACTGTGAATATTTTTTGTATGACTGTGTAGAGAAGATGAACGACTGAAACACTTTCCACATGCAGTGCAGTGATACGGTTTCTCTCCAGTGTGAATCCTCTCATGTGTTTTCAGATTTGATGACTGACTGAATCTCTGGTCACAGTGTGAACACTTGTACAGTTTCTCTCCAGTGTGGATCATCTCATGCAGTTTTAAACACTGCGTGATGTTTTATTAACAAGTTTCGGGAGGAGCGCGCGCAGATAATTAACACGGCCAGTTCATCATCAGTAATTACACCATCTATCCAATCAGCACAAGAGAGAACCTCTATAAATAATCAAAGTAGCCTTACCTCCATTATCTCCTGTCTTTAGCATCATGTCAGACATCGAACTTTCTCCGGACGACAATGAGTCTGACACCACGGGTCCTCCGGCGTCTTCAGTCGCTATCCAGCACACCAGCACCCCAGCTGCGGAGAAATGGACTGTGTCAGAACTACGCCAGATGCTCATTAGCTCCGGCGTCAACGTCCCACGACGATCAGCCAAGGCAGATCTCCTCGCCCTCTATACTTCCCTCCAAACAGGGGCGCCTCCAAGCTTCACTCCTCCATACAGGGCCGCGGACAAAGCGAGCCAGGGCCGTCGTGTTCCATACTCACGGCCCGAATTAACCACCACTCCTTCGAAGACGGGCTTCCGGCCAGTAGGCCGCAGGAAAAAGCCTTCGGCAAGCCTGGGCCGCGCCCCGGATGCCGCCAGCCCCAGACCCCCTCCTCCATCCACCGAGCGCCAGCTCGACGAAATGCCAGCTCCAGTCTCCACGAGCCGCCGCGTTAGCGTGAGCACGCCTCCGCTAGCGGCGCAGACCTACCCACAACCCTCGCC